AGGAGAGTTTCTGGTGCCTTGGAAATTTCAGCAAGCCATGTTCACCGTGTTCTTAGAAATGACCATAGACGTCCCTACCATTTGTACCTGTGCAAGGACTACAGCCAGGGGACGGACAACGAAGAATCACATTTTGTCAGTGGATTCTTGATAGAACTGATAATAATAGGGAGTTTTTAAGTAACGTTTTATGGACCGATGAGTCATGCTTCACTAGACGTGGAGTGGTAAATTTTCATAATCAACATATTTGGTCGCATGAAAATCCGCATGCAGTTCGGGAAAGAAATTTTCAGCATGAATTTAGTGTGAACGTGTGGATTGGTATCTACCGTAATCGACTATTTGGACCCTACCTTTTGCCTGCAAGGTTAAATGCTGCGACCTTCTTGGAATTTTTAAAGGCTGAACATGCAAATATGTGGGATGATGTTATGTTAGATTTAAGAAGATTGGCCTGGTTCCAGCTTGATGGTTGTCCAGCTTATTATTCGAGAATAGTTAGAAACTGGCTGAACGAAAATTATCCAGAAGGATGGATCGGCCGTGGAGGACCAGTCGCCTGGCCTCCACGATCCCCTGACCTAAATTCATTAGATCTTTTTGTGTGGGGATTTCTAGAAGAAAAAGTGTACCAGACACCCGTAACCACAAGAGATATGCTAATAGACAGAATCAGGAATGCATGTGATGAAATACGGCCTTATTTGAATAATGCTATACCACGTTCGATCATTCGTAGATGTGAATTGTGTATTGAACAATTGGGTTTACATTTCGAGCAACTACTTTAGATTTTGTATGTTTGTTCTAACTATCCAATAGCATTTTAGTTGTAAATAATTAATTTAATTTGTTAAAAATAATATTGGAAAATTAAGCAAATTAATATTCTGTTTTTTTGTGTTTATTTGGAGTTAGGAATTATTGCTGTGTTTAAAAACACAATCTAAACGATCATCTTAATTACTTGTAATGCCCAAATCGAAAATGTAAAAAAAATATTATTTTCCCATAAATAATTAAAAATGCATCGAACCTTAAAAATCGAAATATCTCAAAAACGTCTAACTATAATGAAAACTCACAGGAGAGCTTTTTATGCAGAAAGGTGCAAAGAATCAGTTTTTTTATTAGAAAGGCAAAAAATTGTACTAAGAAAATTTTTTCGGTCATTTCAATACACTACAGGTACAGTAGAGAGCGCCCTCTAGCATGGTTTGTTTTGTCGTACCAAAAAACCCTTGTATACCAGTTTTCACTGTTATACATCAAATATTGTTCGAAATATTTAAAAAAAACTATTTCAAAAAGTAAATTTAAACACCGTGTATTCCGAAAGCCACGCATTTTTCGACCCATGTTTATATGGACTTAATGCATTAATTTTAAATGTTCTATCGAATCTTAAAGTTATGCAACAATAAACTGAAACACCCTGTATAAGGAGTTGAAGAACTATACTTAGGCTGATACTAGGCGTGAAAAAGAAAAAAGGTACTTGGAATGCCTTAAAACAATTAGGTGTGTGGTCGCGACGTTAAACCTCAATTTCAGCTCATTTAAGTAATCCTGATGATCTAGATAATCACTTTGCATCGTATTCACAATGTGTTACATCTGTTTCCGACAAGGAATTCGAATATTATTCATCTGATGTTCATAATGCTAATTTAAGCTTCCAGTTCAGGATGATAACTGACGAAGAAGTGCACACAATTTTGCATAGCTTACAATCAGATGCTGTTGACATTAATGCAAAAATGCTCAAATTGTGCAGCCCTTTCCTTGATATATATACAGCGCATATTATCAACTGTTGCATAGAGAAATCTTATCCTCCAATTCTATGGAAATCTGCTATTGGTATCCCTTCCCAAAAATAAATAATCCCGATCTTAGGCTTATATCACTTCTACCAGCTGTCTCAAAAATTTTTGAAAAACATCTATATATACACATTCAGTCCAAGGTCTACTTCCTGACTGCCAGTCTGAATTCAGACCTGGAAGAAGTACTGAAACATGACTAGCTGCGGTAACCAGAGATATTTTAATGACGTATAATCAATGTTTGTCCAGCGCTCTTGTTCTTTTGGATTTTTCCAAAGCTTTTGACACCATCAATCATGAATTGTTGTGCTCAAAGCTGAAATACTATGGTGTTACTGGCCCCTCACTGTTTTTAATATGGAGCTCCCAAAACATTCATATTGATGGTTCTTACTCGGCAAGCACAGATATTCTGTCGGGGGTGCCACAAGGATCCATACTTGGGCCTTTGTTATACATAATGTACACAGCGGAAATTCTAAGAAAGATACAAAACGTCAAGGTACAATCGTACGCTGACGGTATTCAAGTTGACTTTAGCTTTTCCATGAAAGACAAAGCTGCAGCAGAACGAACTCTGAATGAAGAGGTTCAATCGATAAACACATTATCAGAGCAGCACAACCTAAAGCTCAACTCTAAGAAGACAAAAGTAATACTTTTTGGCAATAAAAATAGTATAAATATTTAAAAAAACTTTATGTGAGACCTTGGTGCTGAGTAATTTCAACTATTCTAACTTTATTTATGGCCGTGCTTGACTAGTGCTGACATAACGAAAATACAACAGGTTCAAAATAGCTCACGTAGGTCCGTATACGATATTAGGAAGTATGACTCCATACCACACAATATCAGAGAGTGTGAATAGCTTAACATGAAAAATAGGAGACTCCTTCACCTGTGTAATTTTACGCATAAACTGGTCAACACTCCAAATCCTCCAGGTCTGATCAAACATTTCATACCTCGCAAAGATACTTATCATCAAAATTATAAGATCAAAATTGAGCTACACCGTTCCGCAGCATAAGATGTTTCAAAGATCGTTCGTATCTAATGCTATCACGATGTATAATCAGCTGCCACAAGAATTCAAGCTTCTTAATATGAACAAGTTCAAATTCAAACTAAAACGTTATCTGTTTGTTATGCAGTAGGATTAATGATGCAATGTTGTATATTCAACTTTTTATTGATTTATTATTGTGTAACTCTTATATATACAGGGTGTCCGCAAAGTCGGGGTTTTCCTTTACACGACGTGTAGATCTTGAAAACATAAGCAACTTTTCTTAGTACCATATACACCAATGTCTTAAGGGAACCGAGATAAAGGGCTCTGCAACATCAAAAATATCTGAATACCGTCCTGTAGCCGCGACCCGCGACATCCCCGAGTGGTACTGGATCGGGGTCAGTGTGTCAGGTCCAGTATGCAACCTTCAACCGACGGTTACGGTCACGCGTGTAGAGGTAAACGAACCCGTATAATCGATTGCGTTTCAAAAAAAAAATAATAATAGCACACTCATACACCAATAATGAACTCGTTGATATGTTGTTAATTTATGGCGAATGTCTTCAAAATGCTACAGAGGCTTCGCGAGTGTATGCAGATCGTTTCCCTAGACGACATCATCCAAGGCCCCGCAGATTTGTGTACCTGGTCCAGAGAGTCAGGGATACGGGCCATTTGGAGGAATTTTGAGGTGGGCACAGTGGGAGGCCTAGACAACCACGAATGGTGCAAGTTGAGGAAGAACTACTGAATCGCGTAGACGAGAATCCCTCAACAAGCACTAGGGACGTGGCTAGAGAAATGCAAGTATCAAAAACTAGTGTGGCAAACGCTGCGTGAAGAGGGGCTGTATTCGTTTCACGTCCAACGTGTACAAGCCCTTCAACCTGACGATTTTCCAGCAAGAGTGCGGTTTTGTGAGTGGTTGTTGCATCAACATGACAATAATCCGGAGGTTTTGAAGTGCATATTGGTGACAGACGAATCTACGTTCACGCGTAATGGGGTAAATAACTTTCGCAACACTCATGTTTGGTCAGTAGAAAATCCGCACGCTGTCCGTCGGGCACATTTTCAACAAACATTTTCGGTGAATGTTTGGGCTGGCATGGTGAACGGTCTGCTCATTGGACCATTTCTTCTCCCAAATCGATTGGACGGGATGCAATACCTAGAGTTTTACGCAACATTTTGCCTTCCTTGTTTGCCTGCGTCTGCTCGGTAGCGCATCAGCTGATTTCATTTTCTGTTGGAGCGGTATGATTTCGGGCAGAGACGTACTTAGCCCTTCTCGTCAACTGGAGAGTGAGTACTTTTTCCTTCATTTTTTTTACTTGGTCGCCCTCGTTTCACTACACATTACCTTTGTTATTTCAAGGGTAGTTGTTTCTGAAAAGGACAAACCCAACTTTGCGGACACCCTGTATATATATATGTATACATGAAAGCAATATCAAAAGTGTGGCTAGATCTGTTTAACATAGAATGTGTTGCTCCTTTCTTTCTACGCCCTGTATAGTTTTTAAAAGTTAAAATGTTTTACTGCGAATGCCTGTGTTGTTTTATGTTATTCATCATATGTATACTTTTTCTGTCTACCTCATTGATTTTGACATATGTAATTACATATTATTTAATAACAAATTCAATTATTCAATTATTTGGGTGCTCCTCGCCAGTGGTGGAATAGAGTAGCTGTCAGCTAAACTTCGCCACTGGTATTATATATATTTTTTTACCATACTGAATTTTCTTTGAAAATAAAAGACGGTTTATCATCATTATTATTATTATTATTATTATTATATAGAAACTCACGTTTCTAGCATGTTTCTAGCAAGGACTTCTTGAGTGGTTGGCAGCTTTGTCTACTTGAATAATTTGTTATTTATAGTGACTCGAATACTCAAGACTAAATGCCTCCAAATGTCGTTATGTCTCCATCAGTTTCTCTTCTTCTGAGAGGTTAGAAACTGCAGCACCAGTTACCGAGTTTCTGGAATTAAACTGCAACCTACAACTCGCGGCTGAATTCAATTAACTTGAGCTACAGTTACAACGTTCCAATCAAACTTCATTACAGAATTATTAGATTATATATAATCGAAACTTGTGCACGTGGAAGCACGCAGCGTTTTAGTACTTACAGCAGAAACATGGTGTTGTTTTCGGTTAAATGGTGTAATTCGGGAACCTCCACCAGGCCAGTGAAAACTATTCGTCTGGAAAACAATTATTTCTCACTTTCTTATATTATACATATCGAGAACTAGACATTCAGATAATGATTTCAAATGATTACAGTCTCGACAACAAATGGCCTGAAAAAGTACTATTTCTTATGCTTTAAAATTTATATTACGCCTTTTAAGTTTTGCATATAGAAACATAGTAGGCCGCGCGGATCGAAGGTGAGTACTGAATCCTCACTCTTTAGTAAACATAAATTCAAACTTTCACAATAATACTACAGTAAATTTGTAAGAGTCACCAAGTCATTAGAAAAATGGAACTCAACCGAGAACATTTTCGCGCCATAATTTATTACAACTTTCAGAGACAATTATCGCAACAAGAATGCCTCGCCGAATTACTGTCTGTTTTCGGCAACGAAGCGCCACATCAGTCGACAATTTGTCGTTGGTATGGAGAATTCAAACGTGGATGGGATAGACATGTGACATATCGCGAGATTGAGGCGTCCTTGAAGATCTCAAAGACCTCAATTCAAAAAATTCTACATGAAGAATTAGGAGTCAGAAAATTAGTTTCTCGTTGGATACCCCACCTATTGACTGACGAGCAGAAAGCAGCCAGGGTTAATTGGTGCCAAAAAAACGCTTGACCGTTTTAATTCCGGAAACTCAATAAATGTGTACAGCATTGTTAGTGGTGATGAATCGTGGATTTACTGTTATGAATCAGAAAATAAACGACAGTCGGCTGTTTGGGTGTTCCAAGGCGAAGGAAAGCCAACAAAAGTCATCCGTTCTCGAAGTGTTTCGAAAAAGATGGTCGCGACATTTGTGTCAAAAGCGGGACATATTGCAACAATTCCTCTTAATGAGCAAAGAACCGTTACTGCGGATTGGTATACCATCATTTTTTGCCAAAAGTCATCACCGAGCTTCGAAAAATCAACCCCGAAAGAAGAATCATCCTCCACCAAGACAATGCAAGCTCGCACACAGCCCAAAAAACAAGGCAGTATTTAATGGAAGAAAACGTGGAATTATTGGACCATTCCCCATATAGTCCCGATCTAAGTCCTAAAGATTTCTTTACTTTCTCGAAAATTAAAAACAGACTGCGTGGTCAAAGGTTCTGGTCACCAGAAGAAGCAGTTGAAGCATTCAAAAATGCCGTTTTGGATCTACCAGCAAACTACTGGAATAAGTGCTTCGACAATTGGTTCGAGCGCGTGCAGATGTGTATTAATTCGTGGAGAATACCTCGAAAAACAATAAAGTCATTTAAAACTACCTACCGTGTTGTTTTATTTCCATATGCAAAACTTAAAGGACATCCCTCGTATGTGATACTTGATTGACGGGCCTTCATGTAACATTTGAAAATACGCGTCTCGGAATATATTCGAGGTTATACTTACAGTGAGTAAAATGTTGATGACGTTACACCTTTCAACAGCCCACTAAGATATTTTAATCTTGGTGCATGGGAAATATATCTGCAACAACAGTTTTTGAAAGAGAATCTTGGAATATATACAGAGAAGAATATACTAAATCATACACATTCACAACTAATAATTGATTGACGTATTTTATCTCAAAATAGCCAACCATATGCTTTATTCCTCATCTTTAAGAATAAAAGTTCTCAGGGCACTAAAGCAATCCTATGATCAGTTTATGAGAAAAGGGGATAGTTTTTCAGATTTGCAAAAATGGTGAATGTGCCGTCTATAGTTCTCAACCAAAAACAAGAATGGATTTACTCTCAGAAGTAGTCAAAGTATAAAAAATTATCTGAAGTCACTTGAAACACTGAGAAATACCGGGTGCGTTTTATATATCTATATTTAACATGCTCTGTTGCTGCAAAAATCGCCAAATTTCGCAGCAAATATCCCCCGTATAAGATCAAAGGCAGTTTCACCGGTCCACGTGGAGTAAAGCACGCCTATGCGTGGACATAGCCAATGAGAAAGCGTGTATTTCAGAGCTTGGAACAAGTGCAGGTGGCTACTGAAAATTGAAACAGTTTAGCCAGTGCCGTGTAGCGGTGAATAAACGTGTTTTCTTTAGTCTGTCCGTGTTTTTTCATAGATTTTATTAGTTTGTGTGTTTTTGACTTTTGAATACTCAGTTTACTTGTTGATTTAATTGTTGTGTTGATTGTTCTTGTGTGTCCTAAATATGGCTCTTTGGAGACCTTGGGAAAATGCTCCAAGCCACGAGGAGATGGTTGATGAACCTGTGCAGGCAGAATTCTTTCATAAAGATTTAGAGGAACAGACCCAAAGAGTAATCCTAAATATATATGATTGTCTGAAAAACGAAAATCCAGATTCCTCGCAAAATCAAATTTTAAACAGAATTTGTATCCTGACAAAAATCAGTCGGTCTACCATTTATCGGGTTATAAAAAGGGGAGATGTAGTCAACCATTCCTTCCACAGAAAGCGCATAGGGCAAAAATTAAAAATAATAGACGTGGGTTTTCAGGAAGATATTCGTCGTATAATATACGGATTTTATAAAGAAAATTTGGTGCCCACGTTGGAAATGATACGGGATAAATTAAAAGATTATCCTGAAGATTTTTATAATTACAAATGCTTAGACTCACTGCACTATATTGTAAAACTGTGTGGTTTTCAATACAAAAAATTAGATAAAAGAATGGTGATTAAGGAGTCGTTTCGAATCGTTGAATTGCGTCAAGAATTTTTGCACAAAGTTAAAATCTATAGAGAGCAGAAAAGAAATCTGATTTACCTGGATGAAACGTGGTATGATACCCATGATGTTGTGCAGTACGGCTGGGTTGACGACAGCAACAAGTGCATTTTAAATGCACCATGCAACCATGGAAAACGAATCATTATTCTCCATGCTGGCAGTGAAAATGGATTTATACCTAATGCCTTGCTGTTATCTGCCAAAAATATCAAAGAATCATGTGCCGACTATCATGAGGACATGACCTCCGACTTATTTGAAAAGTGGATAGAGCAGCAGTTAATACCAAACATTTCCCCAAATTCAGTGATTATTATGGACAATGCGCCATACCATTCCCGACAGAAAAACAAAATTCCGAATACAGACACAAAAAAACAAGACATTATTGATTTTATGAAGGATAAGGGAATGGAAATACCACAAAAATCAACCAAAGCCATATTATTGGATCTTATTAAAAGACAAAAATTTGAAAAAGAGTATGTTGTTGACAATCTGCTTCAGCAAAATGGCCATGAAGTATTACGTCTACCTCCCTATTACTGCATTTTTAACCCGATTGAGTTGGTCTGGGCTGCTTTAAAAAAAAAAGTAAGAAAACATAATCAGACCCCTCAATTAAGTGAATCGCTATTGGCCACAATAAGAGATACAGTATCTCATATTGCTGCCACAGACCTATGGAAGCAGTGTTCTAGGCATATTAATGAAAAAGAAAATGAATATTGTGTTTTGCCTCCTGTAAATCCCGTTGTAATTCCTCTACAAGATGACTCTAGCGACAGCTCCGAAGGCGAGGATGATATATAAATAACTATAATGTAAGTCTTTATATATCTTTTTATATACCTACCTGCTATGTAAATATTTGCCTATGTCAAACGTTGGAATTCTGTAATTTTTCCATTTCTTAACTTTCAGTCAACATAAATTAAACTCCCAATATAAGTATTTTTTATCCCAAATCAAAAAAATAAGAAGATAGTAAAATCCATTTATTGTGATATAAAAACATTATTATTATCGTTCTAAATAAATCACCGCACGCCTATGATACGTCATGAAATTACAAAGCACGCGCCGACTAAAAGTTTTTATGCTATTTCAAGTGACTTAAGATAAAGTATACAAACCACATTATTGACATATATTAGACAATGCCTTTTATTCATTTATATTTATTTGTCTTCCAGACGAGAGTTCAATTGTTTTAACCGCCGATGTATCCACGTTCTGAGGACCATGATCAAGATCAACATAACACCTCGTAACACCTTCATACAACGTTTTCAATGAAGTATTTCTTTCAGGATAACAAATCTCCGAGTATTTGATCGGAGACCTATAATCGGTGCATCCACCATTTTTCCAAACCACGCAAACTTCATCTAACTATTTCTCAAAAACTAACCATGCTTTAGTCCCATGAGAAGTTTTGTTCCGGAAGGCGCTAAATATGTCATACCAAATTTTTAGGCAAATCGACTGGCAGTTATTTTCTGTGTGTTTTATGCGGGGTCCTTATAAAAAAGATCTTCGGCGACCAAAAAATTATCCTCTAAACTTTGATCGTTTTCTTAATTAACACCCTTTATACAAAACAAAAAAAATCAGTAGCAACTGAAATCCTGTTAGATTTCTTCCATTTTTGTAATATTTGGTGTGATACTTACTACAAAGAATAGGATTACTTACAATGTCCTGAGGTTTGGAATGTTTGCGAAAGTACCTTGCTCAATGTCTCTAAGGTAGAGTAAGTTCGATAGAGTTCTGAAATTAAAAAATAATTCGTCTTTTTTCAAACTATTCCCATAGAACATACAGCTAGAGGGGCGCTATTGACCCATGCGCGAATAACGGTTGATGCTCTTTAGTATGCTCAAGATGAATGTCTAGCATTAATTTTCATGTATACTAAGTGACATATAAATCCGAACACCCAGTTTAAATGGTTTTATTTTAACAAAAGTTGGTGAATGTATTTATCTTACTGTAAATAACAAGTGAAACATTTTCAGCCTTATCAGTTGGACATTCCGGAATTTAAACTGTTTTTTTTTAATTCACTAACGCTCTAAAAATGAATATTTCAGCCGCAGTAAAGAATCAACGTTGGCGGATTTTGGTTCTTGACATCCCTTACGATCGGTTACGATGCCTAGAGTACGGAGACCTGTACTATTTCGTCAACTTAGTGAGTTTGATAGGGGCCGTATAGTGGGACTTCGGGAAGCTGGACTTTCTTTTCGGGCAATTGCAGTTAGAGTGCAAAGAAGTGTAGACACTGTGGTTAGGTGTTGTCAGGCATGGCTTCGAGAAGGCCGTACGCAAAGAGCAAGGGGCACTGGACGCCGCCGTAGAACTACAGACCGTGAAGATCGCGGCCTAAGATTATTGGCCGTAAGGGACCGTTTCTCCACTACCAGGTCCATTGCAAATGAATGGTTTGCAGAACACGGAAGACCTATTGGCATGCGAAGTGTTTACCGACGAATGAGAAGTTTTGGCTTGTTTTCATACCGGCCACACTGGGTCCTCCCTTTAACTCGAGAACACCGACGTAATCGCCTTGAGTGGTGCAGACAACGGTCACTCTGGGATCAGGAATGGAACAGTATTGTCTTTAGTGATGAGTCTCGATTTTGTTTAGGCATGCACGATGGTCGTGCCAGGGTTAGAAGGCGACGTGGTGAAAGGAAGAATCCACAGTTTTTTGTTGAAAGACATGTTCATCACACTGTTGGAGTTATGGTTTGGATGCTATAGCTTATGGTTCCAGGTCACCTTTAATCTTCATCAGAGGTAACATGAACGCACAGCGTTATATTCACGAAGTTCTAGAACCCCATCTTTTACCCTATCTTGACACCCTGGCAGATCCAACTTTCCAACAAGATAATGCCCGACCACATGTTGCAAGAGTCACAATAGACTTCTTTCAACATAATGATGTCACATTGTTACCATGGCCACCAAGATCTCCCGACTTATCCCCAATTGAGCACGTGTGGGATATGATGGGTAGGAGATTGCTCAATTTGCAACGTCCTCCTCAGACTCTAGAAGCACTTCGAGAGGAGTTGGTGGTTGCCTGGAATGAGATACCACAGGAGGACATTGACCACCTGATCAGAAGCATGCCTAGGCGCGTTGGAGAATGCGTAGCACATCAGGGTGCATCCACACATTATTAAAGGTCAAAGGGCTTTAAAGCAGTGCAATCATTTTGAAATTTTTATCATTTACTTATTATGCTTCATTAAGTACTTATACAAAATTTTGTTAAAATAAAACCATTTAAACTGGGTGTTCGGATTTATATGTCACTTAGTATATAATGTTTACCAATCACACTGCCCGTTTAAAATATTATCTGCCATAACTGTGATATCACTGGTGAAATAAATCAAGTAACGCATTATGATAATTTAAAGATGTCTTCCTTATGCTTAATGTTACGTATAGGCATCATCGTTTATTTATTTTATCTTTCCAATCCAAAAAAGATTAATATTCTCATTAGACGTTTCTGGAATTTATTTTTGTGTAGATAATTAAAGGCAGTACTTTAGACCGACGGAAGATCCTCAAGAATAAACAGGATTTATGGAGAAAAGCAAACAGAATTTGTAAAACACGAAACCGCCAGTAAAGTTTCAATTTATGAGTAAACTGTAGTCACTTTCCAAACATGTCTCGTAAGTATGAGAAAGTTAGGATAGATGGATGGCAAGGAATACTTCATAGCTTTATATGTAGATATCCTAAATCCATATCCTGTTGCTACAAATCAAGGTACTTCAGCTTGAAATCCTAACTTCTCAATAGATTCTGGCCACATGCCTTATGAAGCATAGCTCTAGTAGCGCCACACTGTGGTCATAATAAAATTGATAAGACCAACTTTCCTTCGTAAATGAAACTGAAACGGGGGTTGTGTTAGAAAAATATTATCAGGCTTTTTTCCGTAATCACTGGCATCAGACTGAAAAGCAACACGCAACCACGCGAAAAAATACTAACAGCAACCTTATGGGCCTTATCGTTTCTTTTTATCGGTTAACTTCGCTGATTCTCTATAACTACAACAGCAGTTAAAATATATACTAAGTGACATATAAATCCGAACACCCAGTTTAAATGGTTTTATTTTAATAAAAGTTGGTGAATGTATTTATCTTACTGTAGATAAGAAGTGAAAAAATGTTCAGCCTTATCAGTTGGACATGACGTAATCGCCTTGAGTGATGCAGACAACGGTCACTCTGGGATCAGGAATGGAACAGTATTGTCTTTAGTGACGAGTCTCGATTTTGTTTAGGCATGCACGATGGTCGTGCCAGGGTTAGAAGGCGACGTGGTGAAAGGAGGAATCCACAGTTTTTTGTTGAAAGACATGTTCATCACACTGTTGGAGTTATGGTTTGGGGTGTTATAGCTTATGGTTCCAGGTCACCTTTAATCTTCATCAGAGGTAACATGAACGCGCAGCGTTATATCCACGAAGTTCTAGAACCCCATCTTGACACCCTGGCAGATCCAACTTTCCAACAAGATAATGTCCGACCACATGTTGCAAGAGTCACAATAGACTTCTTTCAACATAATGATGTCACATTGTTACCATGGCCACCAAGATCTCCCGACTTATCCCCAATTGAGCACGTGTGGGATATGATGGGTAGGAGATGCTCAATTTGCAACGTCCTCCTCAGACTCTAGAAGCACTTCGAGAGGAACTCCTGGAATGAGATACCACAGGAGGACATTGACCACCTGATCAGAAGCATGCCTAGGCGCGTTGGAGAATGCGTAGCACATCAGGGTGCATCCACACATTATTAAAGGTCAAAGGGCTTTAAAGCAGTGCAATCATTTTGAAATTTTTATCATTTACTTATACAAAATTTTATTAAAATAAAACCATTTAAACTGGGTGTTCGGATTTATATGTCACTTAGTATATAGATATTTATATAATAAATCAGTTACCCTTAGGGCCCTGAAATACCCATGTCTCATACGTAGAAAATTCAAGTGAGGAGTTGACCACACAGTCTCTCGACTCTACTTACTCGTGTACGATCGTTCAAATTCATCTGGTATACAGGGTGTTCCCGAAACACGTGGCATATTTTGTGGGTCCTAAAATGCTCCCTCACCGAGATACAGAGTGTTGAAATTATAATTTTGAAATCGAAAAAAATATGTCTTCGCAGTGGATCAAGATATTGACTTAAAATTCTGTACATGTAGCCAATACACACAAAAATTTTCGTATTTGAGGCTATACCAGTAACGTACAGATTGAAAAAGTATTACCACTACAGATGAAAACGGAAAATTTCACAGGCTCACAAAATAAAAATGTGGCGTGTGCTTGGAGTCGCACTATGTGTTTCTTATGCGCTTTTTCACGCTGAAAACGAATTTGAAGACAAAATTTCGGGCTGACGGACAAATAAGGAATTAATTCAGCCACTAAGATCACGCATTTTGGCATTTTGGGTGGATGCACGTCTCTTTAGGGGCCTCTGAGGCGAGCTTCCACGAAACATATCAAAGTTTTTAATTCTGGTGACTAAATTACTTTCATATTTGCCCATCCTCCCCCAATTTGGACTTCAGATTCGTGTTCAGACGGGAAAAGTACATGAAAAACATATAGTGTGTCGCTAGCCCACACAACTTTTTATTTTTTGTGGACCTGAGGATCGTTATTACGCGTTTCCTCTGAAATTTGTACACCAACTCACAATTTCAACGTCACATTCATGTTCAGAAGAGAAAAATACATGAAAAAATATAGTGACACACCAGCACACACAGCTTTTTTTTTCCAATGCTAACTTCACAGTCGTGTTTAGAGGGAAAAATACATGGAAAAAAGGGTAACCCTCAGCACACACTACTTTTTACTTTTTTGTGGATCTTTGGATTAACATATTTTTATGCGTTTTCTCTGTTCACTGATCCTCAACTTTGACTTCAACTTCATGTTCAGCGACAAAAAATGCACGGGAAAAACATAGTCGGACCACAAGCGTACACAACTTTTTTATTTGGTTATTTTCTACGCCGCTGACTTTTTCGGAACATCTATTACATTTTTGAATGAGGTATTCAACTAGATAATAAATAAGACTCCTTTTGGAGAAAGGTTGGTTTGAGTATTTGAGGTAAAATGGATATAAAAAAAACAACAAATTCTACTTTGAAAGTTCGCTGACGTTATCGAAGTTTGACATTGAAAATTATATGTGGTGCAATGAGAGAGTAATCCTAACTTACTATAGCGTTTGAGGAACAATGTTCATGTTTTATCTTTATTAGGTCTCGTCTGTAGTACAACACCATGTATCTTGACAATGGTGCACTCAAGGACTTTTTTGCATTTGCAGTAACATTTTTTGTAACTTTTTTATGCACTTTCTATTCAAAATTTGACGACGTTTCTCTGAAACGCCCTGTGTATGATTTCATTTATCGTAGTGCTTAATACTTATTATGTAATCATTAATAATAATATAAAATAATTTGTGACAAGCTACATCAACTGACTGTATATTTTCACACTTTTTCAACAAATGCACAATTTAGTAATTATTGTCGCCGGAAATGTTAGCGTTTTGATTACTTTGCACAAGATAATGAGTCATAGACTTGCCAATCTGCCTATCACTATACTTTGTAAAAGCGTCACTCCACGATAGGCCAACGTATACGAGACACAACTAACAAAATGTGAGGAAGCATCATACAGTTATCTCATCCATCACTATACATATACAGGGTGGCGCATCGAAAACGTAACAGACGCATTTACTGGTAGCTCAGTTTTTTTTTTAAACGCTCAGACCCGTCGATTTTGTTTTCGAGGGGGACACAAGTTTGGCAAAAAGTCAGGTTAATACGTGCAGCTCCATGGGCGGGGGTGACGCCAACCCTAAAATCTTAAATGGAAAGGGGGGTCGAGTTATACCTTATTATAAAGGTCCTTCAATTCCCTTTATAATGATGTAAAATACAGTTCGGAAGTTTTTAAGATTTATTGATTTAAAGCTTAAAGTAGACTTTAATAGGTACACCAGATTAGTTTGTACTACATTCAGAAGAAATTTGACTAAAAGAATTTACTTAATAAGTACCTAAATGCTTTTCTTCACTACGCCCATGGTTTGTTTATCATTTTGTTGTTGAAAATACCTATTGGAGCGTTTCCTTGGGGCAAATAAGTTATTTCTCGAAGAAAGATAAGGAAATATCTCGTACTTATTTTAAATAGGAATTTAGTACATAGTTTGCGATTGATTTGACCAAAGTTTGTTGCTAAAATAACCTGTAACGCTGTATTACATAAATTAACCATGTATATTCCATAAAATAAGGTATCACTTGACCCCCCTTTCCATTTAAAATTTTGGGGGTGGTGTCACCCCCTCTAGGGAACTGTTAGAGATCTCAGTTTACAGTTGTGACTAGACAGGACCCTTAACGGCTTCAAGAATTAGAAGCAATACTAGACTCTCATAGTACGCTATCCGGGCTTTAGGAATCGATCACATTTGTTCCACAATAGATGAAGGATATTTGTAGAGAGTTCTTAAGGTACAGTGGTATATCTGCTTACATATCTCTAAGGTGAGGCCTATACGGGTCCAACCATTCTTTGGAAATATACTCTATATTAGCTTCTGTGATGACCAGTTTCGTCAAATTCCGAGGCAGATCTGTCGGTATATATGTTATCTCCTTTCCATAGCAGTGCACCTCGCTACCAATTTCACACTTCGATCTTTCTTTGAGTACTTCCATGTTTGTGTAGTCAATGTTCATCACCACGATGCATAGCAACATGTAGCGCATATCCTGGAACAAATAAAAGGAACATGTAGCTTTGACGGCTTGGTTTAGATCATTGATTCCCAAAGTGGTCTATATCGACCCCTAGGGGTCTATGACAACCTGCAAGGGGTCTACGTCAGCGAAAAAAAATTTGGGGGTCCATGAAATGAATATAGGGGTCCACGATAGTGAATCTCAACACATACACTGATAGTACCTATTTACTTACATCATACTATTTTATAATATCAAAACATATACATTATTTATAAAAGTACCTATGAAGTAAAAAATGTATTATATATGTTTATAAAATTGTGTACGTTGTAGGATGTTGGTATTCGCTTTGTGGTCGCAATACATTTTGAACTTGTAAAAACCTGAGAGTCGCAGTCTCAGAGCTTCACTACCTTGCACAGACTTGTTCAATTCGTCACTCTATAAATACGAATGTTGGACAAATACGTTTATTCGTTTCCTGAATCTTGAAAAGGAAAGTGCTAAGAAAATATTTTAAAAAATATAAACAGATAGTATATCACACAAATTATAGTGAGTCAGTGTTATTTTGTTTGAGATAGCTGGAGAAAAGTAAGTACATTATTTTTTATTAAATTTTAGTTTTGTACTCGTAGTTATTAATAGTTAAATATTCAATCATGCAAAATTACACGAGTACTCCTCAATAGCTTCTTTTTGAAAGTTTTAGCAATCGGTAATATAATTACAGTGCAATCTTCGTAATTCGAGCTAATTGTTGCAAGAAGATGTTCGAATTATGGAATGTTTTCGGAAAAATCAAAAAATATTTTTAATATACAGCTGCTGGATTTTCTGCCTTATTTAAATAATTTAATTGTGCTCACAGATGACTGATGCCATGTCCGAATCTAAAAAGAAATGTAGACAGTACAGTGTTGATTATTTGAAATTTGGCTTCATTCCATCATTGCCGGACAAACAATCGCCTATGTGCCTTTTATGCAACAAAGTTTTGGGCAATGACGCTATGAAACCATCTAAACTGCAAGATCATCTGAGAAGATGCCACCCTGATAAAACAGAGAAAGATTTGAAATACTTTCAAACACTCAGGGATAAATTTCAGAAGAGACCTACACTGGACAGGATGTTCGCTTCGACGTCACAAAGAAATGATGATGGTTTGCGGGCATCTTACAATATCTCGTTACTTATAGCAAAATCCGGAAAACCGCATACTATCGGAGAGAAGTTAATTTTGACAGGTTTTAAAAAATGTTTTACACAAACCTGCATCTGATATCATTAAAAGAATTCCCTTAAGCAACAATACTGTTGAAAGACGTATTGATGAAATGAGTTCTGATATTGAAAGCTTCTTATGTAATTATTTGCAAACGACCCATTTCTCTATACAACTGGACGAGTCAACTTTACCTAATAATGCAGCATTATTATTGGCATATGTTCGTTTTATTATGAATCAAGAAATCTACCAAGAACTGCTTTTCGCAAGAACTTTGATAACCGACACTAAAGGTGAATCAATATTTCATGTTTTGAAGGATTACTTCATTGAAAAAGCAATTCCTTTATCAAATATAATATCAGTAGCTTCAGATGGAGCACATGTCATGGTTGGACGTTATCGTAGATTTATAAGCTATTTAAAACAAAATGTGTCAGGGGTGTTAGCAATACATTGCGTCATCCATCGACAACATTTAGTTGCTAAAAATTTGAGTGTTAGATTGCATGAATCACTTCATTTAGTCATTGATGCAGTAAACCGAATCCGAAGCAACGCGTTGAATACGCGGTTATTTGCGCAGTTGTGTGAAGAAAATGACGAACACTTTCATCAATTACTCCTTCACACTAAAGTACGCTGACTGTCGAAAGGCTTATGTTTGACAAGATTTTTTGCACTTTTTGAGACTATTTTAGAATTTCTGGATACTAAAGATAAAATTTTAAAAGAAAATTTAATGAAGAGGAAAACGGACATCGCCTATTTAACAGATTTGTTTACAAAATTTACTATGGTTAATTTGCAATTACAAGGCGACAGTTTAAATTTGATTAAAACAAAGTCCATCTTATCAGCGTTTCTTGCCAGAGTTAAACTAATGAAGCAAAATATTGGACGGGGCGAATTTTCTCAGTTCCCCAATTTGTCACAGACAAGCTGCCAGGAAGACGACATTTCAACTTACGTTCAACATTTAAATGCCCTCTATTCAGATTTTGAATCTAGGTTTGAGGATATTTTGACTATGGTAATACCACCGTGGATAATTGGTGGTGACATAGAAGAAACGAATGTCATAATACAAGAGGAACTGACTGAACTAAGTACAAACGAAGAACTTAAGGTTCAGTTTAAAAACGGATATCAGCAATTCTGGCTGCAAAACAACATACCCGTTACTTATCCCGTATTATGGAATATAGCGAGGAAATTTCTAATTTCCTTTCCATCGTTTTACCTAGTGGAAAGGGGTTCAGCGCTGTAACCAATCTCCTAACGAAAAAAAGAAACAGCCGAGGAGATTTAAGATTAACCCTTACAAAATTGACGCCAAATGTTGATAATTTATTATTAAAGCATCAGGTTCATCCCTCTCACTAAAAATATTGACTTATTGCTTAAGTTATTTTATTTGTAGTTTATTTTATGTTTATTGGTGTCTGAACAATAAATGCCCGCATTGGGAATAACTGCCCGCATTGATTTTTTTAAAGAACCCCCTTTATGGAAAATATTTTTTTTAATTATTCTGAAAATTCAAGGATAGGTACACACTAAAATTCGTTAAGTTTCTGCCTATTTTTAGATATCTTAAACGTATAAGAAGCGGAATTTAATCAAACTAACAGTGAAATTATTGTAGAACATACGTTTATGTTATAATTAATAAACAAACTCGCTTATTGTACTATTTTAAATAAAAAACTTTTTTTTTATTATTTTTCACTTTTTTTTTGATTTTATCCCTATTATTTTTTTTTCAATGCGGGCACTTATTCCCAATGCGGGCACTTATTGGTCAGACACCTGTTTATTTAATGTTACATATATTTTACATAACAGATACAAAATTTTATTTTGAGTAGTTTTAATTTAAATTCAATTAACAAATGTATAAATTAACATGTGTTTTTACTTTAAGTTTTTAACCCTAAACTTCACTACAGTTAGAAATTTACAGGAAATCAATATCAGGTAAGTAGGGGGTCTACCCAACACGGAAAAACATGGCAAGGAATCTACGACACAAAAAAGTTTGGGGAACTCTGGTTTAGATAAAGGTGATGAAATTTGTAAGCACACGAAATATTTCAAACACATTTACACTCTAGGAGCGAAACAACTTTGAGAACTTTGAGCATATATTTCTCCTCGCCTTCTCCACACTCTTTGGCGACCATCAGGAGAATATCTCGTAAAACAATACTCGTAAAGAACGTTTTTCCAATCGTCCATTTTCCAATCTGCGTGAGTTCGAGAAAATACCAAGCGCTGCCTTCAATGACCTACATCCGGTAGAGGACTTGTAGCAGGTACACAAGATGATAGGTTTCATTATCTCAATTTTCGGCGCAAGGTATCAGGTGAAACTATGGTACCATGAACATCATCCAATCCTGTAGAAGGGACTGTCCTTTCTCGAAACGCTTGTCTCAGAAACTGATCCTCAACTGCGTTTGTTGGTTTCCGTCTGCCCTACCCAGGTCTTCTTGAGTAAGAACCAGTTTCTGCTAATCTTTGTATCGCATCGAATACCGTACTGTGTGGAACGGTAAGCCTTTCTACGATATACCGAATAGGACGACCATCATCTTGTAAAGCTACAACTTGCGCTACTTGTTTCGGTGTCAGTATTGCTTGACTATGAATCTTTTTGAAAAGCCGTAAAAGTGCTAACAGGCACAGCCTTCTTGAAACAATTTCTTGTTTATGGCTATGATTCGCATGATTTTCTTGAAAACTATTCTTCAATAATTGAGATATTGACATGAATCAAAAAAAGAACTGTTGAGAAAAGCTGAGGTTTAAAATTTTCATACGAAAACACATTATTCAGTGATCCAATGTTTCCACAGAAATTTAGGGCAAAATGCACCTTTTAGTTACACGCTGTATAACAACATTGTCAATTTTTTGCAAGATCGACAGTCGATAATGATGAAAATGAAATTACCTACAACTTGATGAAAAAATTAACAAAATTGAAGCAAAGGTTAAAAAGTTATTTAAAATTTTATTTGAACAAAGTTTTGTTTGTAAGGTTAATTTTGTGTGACAGTAAATTTATTGTTATTGAATATCCTCAGGTTGGACGCTAGGTTCAGGTAGTTATTTTGATTACTGCTCGGTTTCCTCTGCCTCGTCCCACAGTTCCGAGCTAGCAGCCGTCGCGAGTGTACACTTGTGCGACTGCGACCCACCCGGACTTACTGTGCGATCATATTGCGATTTTCATCGCGATACGTTTGTTATCTACGATGGCGAGAATCGAGAAGCTGACAAGCCAGCTAAAGCAGAAACAAGATGCTTTCACCATGCTTGCAGAGCAGATGAAGCACCTGGAAGAAGCTTTCACGCAGGCAAAACAGGAGATAGAGGAAGCCAAAGGGAAGCTCCTCAAGGCGAAGAGGAAGGCAAAGAAGACGAGCACCAGAAGACCACAGCGGACAATGAAATGGATGCCCAAGAAGTGGACAGCCAGCAACAGGACGACACAGAAGAACAGAAGACGTCTGCCGACAAAAGCGACACGGACTACAGTGTCGTCACCACGCGGAAGAAAAGAGTAAGGGTTTCCTCCTCCGACAAAGACGATGCACCCAGGCAGCCTAAGAAGCCATCTGCCACCCAGAAGAAGAGTCCTAGAGAAGCCAGGACCATCGTAGCATCTATGTCAGGAACAAGAGTTCCACCAATCAACATTGAGGGCACCGCTGATTGGTCATCCTTAAGCAGGATGATCAACAATAAGGGAATCCAATTCTCTAAGGCAAGGACGGCGGGAAACAGT